ATGAGATATTTTATTATCTCGCATTTCAGTCTTGATGCTCGATGCAATATCCACTGGGTGACACTCACTGTCTCGAGTGCTATAATCGACTGCCGAATCCTCGGAGGGCCCCTAAGAAAACTTCTGAGATACCTACAGTTGGATGGTAAAAACGATTCAACATGCCCGGAATGCATTGAAAGCGGCACATAGGGAACAGTTTTAAATCTTTCTTTTAACCTAACAGTTAATCTTAGGCTCAGACAATGACCATCAAATAATATCTCTTCTGCAAAATGAGTCCTCTTCACCAAAGAATCACCCAAACTACAGATGAGGTCGCAATTGCATAGAAAGGCAAACCGCATGTCATCTACTTTAGGGTAATTTAGTGAATGTTCGTCGGCGGGTCCTTTAACAAATCATACTTTCTAGAACGGCGCATTCGTCCTTAATTTTGAAAGAATTCGGAAGATCATTTGGCAAGCACGCGTATGCTTTTGATAAATTCTCGTAAGACCAGTACCTTTATATGGGAACGGGGTCGCGTAAAACACGTGAATAAGCGACAGTGAGTTAGGAAGTTGTGGGTAAGTCGGGAAATGAGGAGGGCTCAAAAAGTGCATAAAGTTAACGGATATTTGGACACGGTAGAAGTGTAACTAGCACGAGATATTTCGATTCCCACTATATCCACTCCCGTAACCTAATGCAGTCATTTCTACTCCTCTTTCTAAAAGACGCTGACGCAGTGACTTATGATAGATTTGGACAGCATAAAGCTAAAGAGCGGCTCCATCGGGGTCTAAATTGTGCCCAGAATCAACAATGCGCGCGGTAATGGTACTCCTTATACTCCTAATTTCGTCTTTTAACAGTCAGACCGGCGGAGGTACCCGTATTCTTTCCACAGGCGTCGACTCCAAATGAGCAAGTGAAAGGGGTAAACACACGTTGAGAAAATTTGAACTGACAACGCCTTGCTACCTTCTCCGTGTAAAACGTGATTGGTCGAGAGTAGTAACCGAACTCCTGCTGTTGGGAAGGTTTCAAAAGCAGCTTGGGCAAGGACTCTTCTCCCAAGTTCACTCATGGCGTCCTCTTAAAAAAACGGGTCTTTGTAGAGCGGAGTTTTGTTGTTCGTCGTCAGGGCAGTGGCTTTACTGGTTTCTTGATAATATGCTTTTCAACAAATCTGTCGAGATAACCGTTCTAGGTTCATCATCGATGGTGTCTGTTGTCCAGACACTTTTATCGTTCATTTGACGCTAACTGAGTCGCTACTGTCGGCTTTCCTGTCTAAAAGGAAGTCTAAGAAAGAGAGTGTACTTGCTGTTTTCATCTCTAACGTAGACCCAATGTACGGATATGCTTCGTTTGCAACATCTACTGCAGGTGTTCCAACATATAAAATGTCAACCGAAATCCTCAAATGCGTTTTCGACTCGAAAAAATTGCTTAAATTGGGTCGTATTACTTATCACCGTGCAGCATAACCCAATAATAATCCAGTTATCTCAGGATGCTGGCTTTTGAACGAACTTATTTTTGGCTGACTGCAGGAATTACACTTTGCAAGAAACGACTACGTATTTATTCTGAATTTTTCCCATTAAATTTTGATGCCGCTACAAAGTAAAATATATTCCGAAGAATAAATTCATAAAATATTCATTCTTTCGCTCATTCGATAGTAAATTACATCAACTAATTTTATAATTGAAGGAGGGATATGATTTGATTGTAAAAGGTTTTATAATTGTATTATTTTTTAATATCCTGAAACTGCCGTTCGTAAAACGTCACGTCTTTACATTTAACAGTGTGGCTTGTAAAGTTAACAATATGGCTTAATCCAATGCTACATTTTATGAACCCCATATGATCTCCTCTTAAAATCGCATAAAAATGTACCATTATTCTAACACGGAAAATATACGGCTTATATTTTGGAAGCCCTGAATGCATGTGTAACGGCGGATTGGGTTCAAAATTATTCGGGAATTGGAAAAGGTTTTCAACATCGAATTCTACCCTTCTTTAAGTGTAACATCTGGAGGAGACGTCTTTTTCTACCAAATGAGTAAAAGGACGAATAAGTTTATGCACGCTTTCTAAGGGCGATATTTAAACTTATAAGGGCATTGAAAATCAATGAGAAAAAAGTATACCACTTACGTAGTCACTTTTCACAGAGTGTAATTCCTGCAGGCAGTCGAAAAGAAATTTGTTTAAAAGCCGGCATCCTGAGGTAACTGAATGATAAAACCCCATTTAGGCACTTTTTCGAGTAGGAAACGAATTTCTTTATTTCGGCTAACATTTCGTGAGTTAGAACATCTGCTGTAAGAGAGCAAATTTGCCGGATTCAGCAGCGGTAAGTGAAAAAGCACCTTCAACCTTAATGTTTAAGTCATTTGGTCTTTCTCGCTCATGAAGATGTCAAATAAGAGAGAATTTAGAGGCGAGCCCATAACAACGTCTATCTATATCGCTGGCTGTCAAAAAGTAACTGCGCATTCGATGTGCATCCTAGTACTAGTTCCTCGAACGAGTTATTCGTTATTCCCGTTTCGCGCTGACCGATTAATAGGAATTCGCAAATGAAATTGACTGTATCGGTGGCCGGACCGTTTTTAAAAATTGATGAGACCTCTGGTGAGAACAAAATCGTAACCTTAAGCTTAAGATCCTGGACGTAATTAATGAATTTAAAGTTATCACAGCAGCTACATGGTGCTAGATAATGCTGAATCGGCTTGAGTTACTCTGCCAACAATTTCGCTACTTCATGAAACTGAAAGATTCGTATGTTTAAAATCGGACAAATTGCGATAGCGACCTTGTGGATCTGCAGTGACCATACAATTGAGGGAAGCGTTGCTGACCGGTCCGATGTTTTCAAGTTCACGACCACTTCTGAGACCCCCTGTGATGAGTCTTTTTTAACATTTGGCCGGTAGTGCGTTTATTTCATCCGTACAATCATTTGCCTCATTTGTGTAACGCCCCACCAACTGCACAAAGTTGTTTGCATTTAGTGATACTTTCCTCGGGGATCTGGGGCGAAGACGATGTAACTGCGTGTCGGTGAAAATAGCCGGTGCCCCTCCTTCTCTTCACTGCCGACTCCCTTTCCGCAACTCATCGCAGCTCTCTCCATTCCCTTTACGTCGACACCCTCCGTGACTCCCACCTGCAGTTTCTCACAGCTTTGCGTTCCCAACCGGTTGTTTATACCGTCTGCATTCCACATCTGCGCTTAATTCAAGCAACCCTATGCATTTCGTGGGGCGTTATATCTACCTTCCTGAATTTCCTTTTTTTTCTGACAAGTGGGACTCTTCTTCAGGCAGTGATAAGTACCACTTACCGGGGCTACTTTAGAGCGTTGAACTTTGTCTGTGGAGATGGAATTTACAGTAGTTGGGCTAACTCATGAAATGTCAACCGAAACTCCAAACTGCATTTTCATTTCGAAAATATTAATAAGGTAGGGTTGTAAAACTAGTCAGTTTGCAACATAATTCTATAATATTTCAATTACCTTAAAATGCCAGCTTTCAAACGAACTGCCATCCCGCTGCAGGCAGAAACTACACTCTGCAAAAAATGACTACTTAGTTAGCATGCATTTTTCTCATTGATTTTCGATGCCCATAATGTCCAATTCTATTTCATGGAAAACATGCAAAAAATATTTATTCCTTTGCTCATTCGATAGAAACTTACGCATTCTTTCAATCCAATACCCCGAGCTACCTGAATAATATGCCTTCAATAAATTTTGTTTTCGCTTTTCATTTTCGATAGATGCCATGATCGGCATTTGAATTGGTAGTAACGCATACGCTTAGTACCGTTTATTTTGTCTACTTTAGTTGAGTTGCAGAATTTCTTTGGTTTCGTCTATAGGAAAACAGCTACGTTTTTAATATTCCCCAGGGAATTTGCGAACAGTAGATAACGCAAACATTCATGCCAATTTTCGAAATTCACAAGTTGGGAACTGTTGCAGTCAAACCAACCTTCAGAAAAACTCTGCTTTCCGTAAAACGACAAACATAGGGGAATTTCAGTCAGCCTCCTTTGGGAGGAATTCAAAAAATGGCGCTTATAACTACTGCTTCTTTTTGCCCTTCTTGGGATGTTGGCTCTGAAATAATTTTTTGCCGACTGAATGTGCATCAGGTGCAAAAAACTAAAAGGCCGCCTCAGCAGTAAACTAGCTGCAGTAAAACGACGGCCGAAAGGTTAACATTGCACTTTTAAAATTAAACTCTTGTGTCAGCGAATGAGCGGCACTCGGGTTCAAGTTGTTCTGAACGTGAAACTAGAAAAGTCGATGTCCACTTGTCCATTAATATAATCTTCATGAAGCTAGGACACTGCCGGCCGGCATCAAACGCCATCTGACAACGAAGGGTCCAACCCTCTCGATGCCTGCACCTCATATGGTGTACGCTTTACAGTTTCTAAAATTGAAAACGTGAATTCAGTCATCACAGGCGTTTTCAATTTTAAACCTATGGAAATTACGTCCGCCCTCTGATAAATTTAATGCAAAGAAAATAGTTCTTATCGCTTTACCTTTCAAAAGCATCTTTTCCTATCAAGATGCTGGAATGGACGTTTTTCTATAGGTGAAGTAATTGTGTCTGTTTCGAGAAACGACACTGTTTGCATAGCAAACAGACAAAGGCCCGACTTGTGCAGTGGCAAAAGGGACGATTTGGAAACTCCCGCAAGTTGCTGCTCTCGTCAGCGAACAAGTAAATGCCACCATGAGAACGGGCGTGTACAGAACGGCCGATAATGAGCCCAGATATCCGGTCATTATGAAACCCAGTCTCCGCTAAACGAGAAACCTTGCATTAGGGAGATGCACACTTTGTGGCACATCGTCGGCGAAAATTCAGGATGCTCGCTGTGTGGGTGTGAAATTCGGAAGTGCACTCTCGCCGGCATTTTCACCGGTAGATGTAAAAGGCCTCTCCCGAAACAAATGACGAATGTGAGTTATGAAGTGGGACCCTCCCATGGCGCATGCCTTGTAAGTCAGATGGTTAATGCATTGGCTGTAATAAGGCCTTTTTTACCGTCATGGGTCCTAATCCCACAGGGGCAACGAGGTTTTCACAGTTGGGTCAAACTGAAGACTGTATTTCTTAGATGATGAACTAAGCGTTTTCAGGCAAATTTATTGAACAAAGTCCAACCGAGGTACAACAACTGCATATTGTTTCTGCTATCAAGCAACTGAAACGTAATCGACGATGAACTCAATTACATACTACTTTTCTAAAATACTAGCTCTATTAGTTGGTGTTAGTTGGTACTAAAGTGGTAAAGGACAAACCAATGAATATGTCTTCATCTGAGAGTTTTTTAAAATACCACTCTTCAATTACAGTGGGGTTATTATCGCATATGAACTTCTCGCCAAATGATCGAGCAACGCCTGGCACAATTATATCCATGCGCCTTGTTTCTGCCCAATTTTTGCGAAAAAAACTGTTGACTTAATTTACGATTTGAAACATGTAATTTGTTCGACACATAGGGCCAATGAGTGAGTTCATGGAGCAGTCTTAATTCAATTGGTGGAATTGAAAATGTGAAAGCATAAATAGACCAGACGGCTTATTAGAGTGCTTATACTAGTTGTGAATTGTTTAAGTGAGTTTTGCTTGCTGAAGTATGCTACCTACATTATTCAAAACGGGCAACTTTATTTTGCCCTAATTTGACTACGTCCTTATCTTCTGAACATTTAAACCTTAGGCCGAGTAGTGCAAAATTAAGTCTGTCCATAAATAATGTATATAAAGTTGACGAAATTTGTCCTATGCAAATTCATGGTTTCTTCATTAAGCTAGTTAAAATACAGTTATAGTCAATCAGTTGAAAAATGTATCTTAACACGTTCAGGAAGGATCGTTTACAGACAGAAGAAGGTGAACAAATCTAACGTAACGCATACTGACCTGTGAGAATTGGTTCATAATGCAGAACGCGCGCAAGCTTTCTGTTTGACTTGTTGTTTAAATGAATTACTGTTTCCCTTGTCAGAAAACGGATCCAGCATTCGATACAACTTCTCCGACGAGTACTCAAAAAGCGTTTACTTTTTTGGTTACCTCCGAATATGTTGTCCAAGATGTCATAATGTGATCAGATGCACAAGAGGGTCAATCATAGAAATAGTTCAGCAATCCAACTTCGCTGCTTGCGAACGCTTATTTCTGTCTTACCAGTAACTAACAAAAGTGAAAATACCAGAATTTTCAAGGTCCTTCTATTCCTTTAGTTTCAGAAGCCTTTTTAGTCTCCTGAATGTCATGCGACAAGGCATTAGAAAATGATCTTCTAAAGATTGCAAACTGGTTGGAGTATGCGTCATGTTCCATATAGACTGTTTCTGTTACTACAAGTCAACTGTAATATGTGTCTCTTATTCTCCTCCCGTATCCCTCACTACAAGCAGACGTCCAGTTCGTTCTTTTTCAAGCGGTTTTTCTTCAATCCAGAACATCTTCTTCCCCGAAAACGAAACATTTAAGGCAACGTCACTGTTTTGCGAAATAACAGCAAGCGAATCAAATTTTTTAAATCGGCCATCACCTGTCATTTGCCTATTTTATTTTCAGTCCAACGACCAATATGACAGTTTGCATGCTGACAATTCTCCTCGCTTTCCTCACCAACCTCATGCATGCGATGCCCCACGTGAGAAATGAACTCTACCCCTTCGGCATGGAGGAGGGTCTGACCGAACAAGACGCCGACTCAATACCCTTCATAGACTTCCCACATGGTAAGTCTTCGCCAAACCCGCTAGGATTGTTGGATTCTCTACGGACAAACAAACAATCATCACAGGTGGCGAGAACCATTATTTGTCATTTACAAAGCGTAACCGATCTCATGAAACGGCCTTTTTCATGACTGAGAAGGACTAATAAGGTGGCGTTGTAATATAAATTGTCATCTGGCATAATCCTAAGGTATTTCGTACTCCCCAAGATGTCGGCTTTTGAATGTATTTCTTCCCGACCTCCGGCAGAAACTGTCCTCGGCAAAAAATGACCACTTACGTAGCATGAAGTTTTCACATTGATTTTCGATGGTCGTAGGAATTCAAATATATTGTATAGAAAACATGCCCAAAATATGCTTTCTTTTATTTGTTTGGTAGAGAATCACGTTGCCTTCACATTTTATATCCGAAAAAGTGTAAATGTATGTTTTTCAAAAGTGTCCTAATTCCCAAATAATTTTGAGCTTGATAAGCCGTTACGTTAGTGTTTAGCGGTTTCAGTCTACAAATAGCAAGCGCTCCGCATAAGGAAAATCATATATTCCTCTATGCCTTTAAGAAGTTACTATATAGAGTTCATAAAAAATTACAATGGATACGGGCTGTGTTGCATACTTCACGGGGAACATTTATGAGCCGACATGTGCGATGCTGTATGTAAGGGCATTGCACTGTCTTAAAAACCTTATAATTAGAAACCTTTGTGAAACCGAAAGATAACCTTTCTTAGGGTATAAAATATAATGAAAATGTGATTTTCTACCAAACAAATAAAAGAAAGTATATTTTTTGTGCGTGTTTCCTATACAATAAATTTGAATCCTTACGACCATCGAAAATCAATGGAAAAAATGTACGCTACATAAGTAGTCATTTTTACTGAGCACGGTTTCTGTGGAAGGTCAGAAAGAAGAGCATTCAAAAGCCGACATCCTACTGAGTCCGAAATACCAGAGGACTGGGGCATAAAATAATTAATATTACAACGCCACCTTATTAATCCTTCCTAGTCGAAAACGCATTTCAGAATTTCGGCCGACATTTCATGAGATCGGCCACGCACTGTATACGCCAGTGTTGTCTGATGGCGATGCAAGTCATAATTAAAACGGGTATGGGCGGAGCTATGAGTTTTCGTGTTTACTATCTGTTTCTGGAACGACGTCCAGTGGACAGGTTACGGAGCGCACACATTAGGATACGCTTTGAGGCCTAATCTAAAGCCTTCGTAAGCGCTAACATGATGACCAATAATTATTCAAAAAGGAGTGTTGATAGGTGCGAGGGAGATCGGAAAGACCGTTTCTGACTTAGCAGCCGTCGTCAGCAAGTCACGCCCAGCCCCAGTTCTGGAAAAGCTGGGATTTTAATTGTTGTGCCTAACAACCCCCTTTTTATAAAATTAACTTTTAGCAGGTTGCCAGGAAGGCGGTCATTCAAAGCCGACATCCTCACCTGACTGAAATATCTTGTGACTGTTGCGAGATAATTACTACCACATGCCTACTTAAGTGCCCCTTTATAATAGAAAGCAGTTTTCAAAACTTTGGCCAAGATTCTGCGTTTTTATGCGCCGTCGCCGACTTGCCTGACGATAGAACAGCATAGTGAAATGTGTAGACAGTGGGGGCTGGAAAACTAGAGTGAATATCTACAAATCCGGGTTATTATCAGTGAACATTTTACCCAGGTCAATGATGCTGGTTATTCCAGTGATTTAAACATAAAATTATAATCTAAATTCAACGGGCCATTTACAGAGGGGAATATAACTAATGGGCCTTCATAGAGTTAAGATTAAGGTTATTTCAGTACGGTACTCGACGTACTTCCGGAGCGCTGAGAACTGACGAAAACCCTGAAATACTGTCTGACATTTTGGGCGGCTAAATTGCATCTGCCTTTAACGTGTATGCGCGCGCGTGGAGGAGGAGAGCTGATTGAAATCGTTCCGTGACCGTTTGCGTTAGTAATAAATGACTTGTCATGAAAGCATGGTTGAATAAAAGATATAAATGCTCCCGTATTCTTCAACGTTGGTCTTGTTTCACAGTGACTCACCGACTTCATATGCAAGAGAGGGGGCGAGATCAACAATGTAACCGACTGACAACTGTTTGCATCCGTTCAGACAGGTTTTGCATTTAGTAGCAAGCCACTACGCACGTACTGTTCTTTCTCGCACATGAGCTCTTTGAAGTCTGATTTAATCCCAATGCACGTTCTATGTTCCCACATAGTATTTATGCGGAAGCTACGTCAATATCGCGCACATTAACACATCTTGACGAAAATGAGAATCCTGAAATCATAGTTAAGAAAGAAATAGAATTTTGAAAATTTAACTAGCAAGATGGCCTCAAGGCGATTTGCTTTTTATTTCATTGCAGAAGTTTCGGCAAAATTAGTACAAAGATACTCATACTTACGAAGTCATAAACAATGTGAAACGCTATTCTCACCTTCTTGTATAAAAATAGCATGCAGACATATACATCTTCCCGCCCCTTTCTATAAATATCAGCAAGGAGAAAAACGTAGCAGTAGTTTACAGCCTTTCTGCACATTTGTGATGCCGTCTAGAGTCAACGAACTGTAAAAAAGATGCATCAAACTCCCCTTTTTTGCTCTCATTTTTCAGCCGGCAATATCACCCCTAAATGTTGTTTCTAAAGGAGTTATTTTGTCTTTCAGAGTCACTTAGTGTTATTTTCATCCAACAAAGTATTTCGCAAACTCCAGAAAACACTTTGCACTATATAGAAACCTACTTGACATTTTACACGTAAGCTTTACAAATTGATCGAAAAATCGGACCATGTCTAACAGTATAGAGTTTAGGCAGACGATACCCGGTGAAATTATCCTCCTCATCCGTATGCAGCCATTTCCAAGAGATATCTATAGTCTTCTGCGAATACCGAAAGGGCGATGCAAAAAATCATTTTAAAATAAACGTTTCTTCAGATGGACAGTTGTCAGACAAGTCAGGAGTATGCAATATCTGACGAACGTCGGTTGCTGTCAGAAGACGAAGGATTTGTTGTTTCTGCCTTAAGCCACCTAGCTAATTATTCAAATATTTCTGCAGTCTGCTGTTGGGAATGTCTTTTGCTTGCAATTGTTATTTATGACGGACAGCTTCAAAGTCCGAGCCCGTCTTTCGATTCGACAGTATTCGGGAGAAATGTCTGAGTAATCTGCAAGTGATCAAGGAATATTATTTAGCACCTGAGCTGGGGAAGTGTTTAAGGCAAAGGTTGGGTTTTCTAGAATGGTGTTGACGTTAAATGACGAATTTTTGTCCACTTAAATGTGCACGGAAACGAATACCTAGTAAAAAACCTCACTAGAAGAACGAGTATTTCTCAAACAACGCACGTCCTGTTAACTAGTGATGTAGATGAATATGCTGACGATGAGGTTGTAAATCTTACCTGGTTGGATCAGATAACCTAGCAATGTCGTTCTAGCCTCGCGACTCTGGTTTATGGATGGCCATTATCCTGTTTATTATAGGTACTCGTAGGTTACGTAAGACCTCATGAAGTTTCAGAAAAACAGAAGATAGGTTTTGCATGTAAATATACTGGCTGTCGTTGGAGACGTATACACTTTCTGTTGCAAACGCCGTTGGTGTTAGATTTTTATTAATGTCATCCAGCTAATGGAGTTTAAATCTTGTTGTTAATACACTGTGCTCACAAAGGAAGTTTATTAGGTAGATGCTGGTTTGGGCCCCTTCATGGAGAAAAGAATTTGGTAATACGTGGCCAGCTTTCTGCCACTGCTATATATTTGATGGTGTACATAAGATAGCCTAATGAGGACGCAAAGATGCAACAAAGATAACGGTTCATTCCAAAATTATCACAAACTGCATCGATGTTTTGAGCAGCAGAGCCTGATTAGACCTTTGAAGTGGAGTGAAAAAACAAAGGCGTAGAGGCTGACTTTGAAAAAGGACTGAACTGAAAAGCACAAACTTAAATATCAAGCCATTTATCTGGAGCGCATAATTAAACTCATGAAGCATTATCAGCAATTTACTAGAGGCTGCTAATTAGTTAGATGATTTTCAAAAAAACTGTCCCTCGCGAGATGAAATGCAGCAGCAGTTTGTACACGGGGCGTGCTGGCTTTTAAAGAATCACCTACACACATCGTTATGAATCACATTCTGAAAAACGTTTGCTTCGTAACTAGTATCATCTCAATCCCTTGTACGTATTTAATTCTGGTAATTGGGAGAGGTACGAAATGCTTCTTTTACTTTGACTGCCGTCACTGGTATGTTCTGCATCCATATCGTGAAAGTTGTATGTTTTCGGGGCTTTCAAACGTCACGTCATGTACTTCCTCTAAAACATACTTAAAAAGCTCAACGTTCATTTATAAAGACACCTTCTGATGCTTGAGGGGTTGGTGTCTTGAACCAGCAAATTCCGTTCTAAATTCCAAAATGTGGTTTTGGTTCAAAGAAAGTGCTTAAGTGAGGCCACGAGAGCGATAAGCCTGGTTCGCAGCTGAATAGTGTTTAATACACGTAGGAATACAGTGTTTCGAGCGGGAATTATCCCGGCCACTGAGATAAATTACGCTCACAGAAATATTTGCAAAAACTAGTGGGTAATATTTCTGTCGATTTTAAATGTCTGCCTAAAATTCAGTCGTTGCATGCATGAGACATTAAATAAGGCTATTTTATGCCTCCTTCGTAAAGAATGATTTTCAAATTTGAATTCGATAAGCGCACGTTCTATCGTTCCACAACCAGTTAGGTCGTGAATACATATCCTACAGGGGTACAAATTTAAAATCTGATGCAATTGTCGCTCCTTTCATTTTATAAGTCTTTGAACCTCGACCTAAGTTTGCCAGCGTGTTCGAGTTTACACATTAAGTGTAGTATATTTCTTATTGCGAAAAATTTCACATTATTATTGTGTTGGCATAAAGCGCATTTGTTTTTTGTATTGAAATTCGTCAGAGATATGGATAATACGGTTTACTTTAAAATATCTAAACAGTTATTATTCTTACTCAAAATACTCCTGATCAACAAAATGTATTTAAACTGGCAAAACGCCCTTCTCACTAACATTGTAGTTTGAGTTAGAATTATTTTTTGCATATCCTCAGCAATATATGACTGCATACAAACAGGCATTGAGTATGGATAAAACGATACACATTTATTAGTAATTAGCTTAAAAAATATGGTTCTTCTCAATGATCGACAATACCTACAAGTAAAACGGCAATGCTAGGCGTAAGAAGTGTCTTTGTATGGCCTTTCAACGGCAGTGGTTCAAGTTATATGAGCCGTGGATATCACTGGTAGACTGGAAAACTTTAAATCATCACAATTACGCAATTTATAAATGAGACATTCACCCCTTCCTAAAGAAAACGCTTAGGAAGGATGCCACTTTTCGCAATTAGTCAAAATTGGTTAGGAGCTCATTGTGTTAAAGGGACTATCCTTATATAAAAGTTACAAAGACGCCTGGAGAAATCATCGTGTAATTATCAGAGTGCCAACGTGATGTAATTCCGTCTATTGCTATTCAGCTTTTTAAAATCACTCAAGTAGCACTTGATAATATAGGACGAATCAGACAATTCTGGCCAATGCTGAACAAGATTTGGTGTTTACTCTATCAGGAAACTGCTTTGAGTCACCTCAGCACACGTTTTAGCTGGGTGCGTCTATTACTTATTATCTATTTTTGAACTGACAGCCGGAAAGGAACAGGCAAAACGCCTCCCGCCTCATTTTCTCCGACAAAGCTCGCTGAGTTTCCTCCGCCTGACAAAGTGTGCCGAACCCGTTGGCAGATTTTGCTCTGAATTACTACTTTAAAGACATCACCTAAACTTCATGGACAGGCACGTGTTTACAGGGATGCTCTCCTGTTTCCCAGGCTTTAACTCAAGAACTAACTACTGTTCTGCATAAGTAAACCGTGCATATAAATGGGTTTTTGTCGGAAAATCTAAAAGCAGAGGAAAGAATTGCCTTTTACTGCTTAAATGCAGCCCTTGCTCGAGATAGAGCTAATGAAAACAAGTAGACCCTAGTAAACCTAATGATCATCCTTGAAATCGCTGCAGGTTCATAATGATACGCATTTACAGTGTGTGCTGTAAATCACAAAATTCAGACTCACAAGGCCAAGTGTGTTGTCGAATAAACAAGAACTTGCTGAAGTGCAATGAAAATATTTCGTTTTTCGGAAATTTCTTCTCTCAGTTTGCCATGGTTTTAATGAGAGCGCATTATTAAGGTCTTCTTAACATTCATAGGGACTAAGATATACGTTTTGCATAAAAGTGAACAAAATACGTCGTTCGTAGGTATGATTTTTAAAAACTAGAGGTTAATTTCTGCAAGCATCGAAAGCAGACAGAAATACCGCGCATGACGATTTTATAATGAGTTCATTTTGTAATCGGAGTGGTACACATGCTGCATTAGGATTGCGCAATTATATTTCACTGTTTTTCCCACACGTGTGTCTGTCAGTAGTTCCTACATAGTTCCAAATCTTTTACATATTTTCCAATGAAAAAACAGCCTTTCATGGACAACGATGATTAACAGGAAGGCATGTTCTGTAAACTACAAGCCAACCACCGTTTAATTTCCCATTTATTTATTTAGTTTGAGTCAATCGCAGCGTATTACAAAATAAAAACATGGTCATTGCGTGAGCGGGACTGGAAGGCATTTAGTATTTGATATCAAAAAAGACATTCAAAATCAAAACCCCCACGCTACTTCGTCGAAACTACCAGAAAACAAATCGTGAAACCTTACGAAGGTCTGGGTTTCTAGGCTGTTTTAAATGACTGTATAAATATTAGATTTTTTACATTTACATAAGATTGCCGAAAAATTCATTTCTATTTCATAGAATACACGCACAACATATCCCATTCTGCATTTATCAGATAGTAAATAACGTCTTTTAAAATTCCATACTCGAGGTAAATGTTTCTTTTGATTTAAAATGCTCCAGTTATACGGTTTCTAAGTCCGTTAAACTTCCATTCAATTAACATCTTATACCTCCGTTTATTAATGCTGTACATGCAGTTTGCAACAGATTTCATATTCATTGTAAACCTTTTTGAGCCATGTCCGGAATTTATACATCTCCTGGACTTGAAGTTCTAAAAGCAAATGCAATGACAAACCGGATTCAAAATTATTCCTGAATCAAAGGACTTTCCGAAAATAAATAAACCTTTTTTTGCGTATTCCGTTTAAAAAGGAGTGTTTGCCTCTTCAGTGGGTGCAGTAAAAAGCTTTTTTATTCACGCTTTATGCACGCTGCATTTAGACTTATAAGGACGCCGAAATCGGTTTACAAAATAAATACTATGTGACTAGTCATTATTTTTCGAGTGCGGTATGCGCAAATGGGCGGAAGTATGTGCTTCAAAATACAGCACTTTAGCATAGACGGAACATTTCAGGCTTTATGTTGTGTGATACCTAATATAACAAACCAGCCTAAATAATCCTTCCCACTAAAACTTGCATTTCAAAATTACAATTATCATTTAATGAGATCGATTACTGACCGGGACTGTAAAGGTACATCTGTTTACTTAATTCTGAAATTTAATCTAGATCTTCAAAATTCTAACCTCCTTCATGCAGACGCTGGCTGACTTTACATTCACATAGAATAAATTATTTCCTTGGCCAATCAAAGAATAGTTTTCTTCAGTCCGAAGTAACATGAGTTGCAGAACAATAACGCATCGATCAGTTGTGGTAGGGTGTGGTATCCAGCAAATTTAAACCTCTCCTGGTGCGATGGGGGCGAATGCAAAAAACAACAACGAAAATGGGACGAGAGGTCTGCGAAGATGAGAAGGAAGGCGAGTGAAATAAAGCAGAAAACATAAGTATGCGGGTGACGGAATCGCCTACCCGTCATTGACTATTGATTCCGGGAATGATGTAGTCATTTTCGCTAACAAGAGATTGCACAGCGCAGATGTGTGGTTAAAAAAGTCATTTTTGTCTACATTACTGTTCCTTTCTCTGCTTTAGGATCTTCTCTGGACAAGAGGCGATTTCGGCGTATCCGAGCCATCCGAGGCGGTTTTGATTCTGGGCCTTACCCCTTCCATAGTAGGGGCTACTAATGTCCGCGTAAACACAGGTTCTTTGTCTGTTTGACCTAAAACTCGCAAAAATGTATTTTTCCTTCTAAATATATGTTTGAAAGTCCATTATTGACGACGCTAGCTTGATCTTCGTCATCGGTGGTGCTGTACGGGTGAAAATCATTTTAAAAGCATCGGTACATTATTCCGGGATCAAATTGGAATGAATTATTCGTAATCACAAATCACAGGCTGCATTTGATATTTTTCCCCTAACGTCAAAGCGGACTTAACAGTTTTAGCATACATGGATACATATAGGCAGAATAGCCTTACCGACAAAGACAGTGGAGCCTGAAGTGACCACTTCTGGCTTGTTAGCCGTCACTTGTCAGCCATACCCAACCCCCACGTTTACACCCCACGACGTTCGAACTCGCCACCTGCTGGTTAGAAACCCAGTGCACAAACCGTTGAGTAACGGGCTTGTTTACTTGTTGGTTGCGATCAGGGTTTACGTTGCTGTTGACAAAGACAAGGGAGAATGGAATGGCCATTTCTGGCTTATCAGCCGTCGCCAGCCAGCCATACCCAAGCCCGTAGTGTGGAACACCCGAGCCCCGAACTCGCGACCTGTTAATTAGGAGTCCACGCTTATAACCGCTGGGTCAGGAGCCCGTTGTCCTGTCGATTTCGATCGGGAATATGCAATGGTAGGGGGCGCTCACCGATAGTTCATACGGAACTCACTCGTTCCGTTTTGCTTTAAGGGCTCTCTCTCTCGAGTCCAACCAGCAGTCGCACAGCAGCGCATGATATTGGCAGTATGTTGCTATCGGCAAAGATAAGGGAGACTGCAATGACCATTTCTCGCTTATTAGCCGTCTGGAATTCACTAAATCTGATACAGTATGCTGATTGCCTGAGCAGGATTTCCTACGTAATTCATCTAGAATGACTACCAGGCTCACGTACTGCATAGAAAAGTATTTTGTACATGCGGTTTCATTAAATGTCCCCCGGAATGACTATTCCGTGCAGTCTGGCATAAAGTCCAATGTGTTATATCCGGCCATGTGTTCCAAGGTCTTTTCATGCAAGATTGACGACCTTTTCCATTTTTCATTGCTTGATATGCGGCTACTCAAGGGAAAGAGGATATCACTTAGTAAGTCTGATAAAGATACCCACAGACATAGGATTTCAATGAAGTTATCTACCGACAGGGCGGTCATTGGACACCAAATGTGGCTCGAGTTTGCATGCCCAATCGAAAAAGGACCACTATGTGTATGCAAAAAGGACTTTTTGGCCAATATTTGTCGCCCTTTTCTGAAGGCGGAGTACTTTTAGATTAAGATCATCCTTGAAACATCGGTAAATTCCTCCCGATTTTCAGTGTTTTAAACCGATTGCATAAATAGGTAGGGTTTTTGCCACGCGTTTGTCAAAGTTTAAAAATAAAACACACCCTGAAGGCGTACACCGAGTTAGGTCGTACTTGGGCGGTCTTTCTGACGCAGATGGGCGTTTGGGTCATATTTGACACCCAGTTGCCAAAAATTGACCTATGACAAATGTGCTTTTGATCAACTAAGTAAACTTCCCTTATTATTTTTTTATTTGAAAATGTTTTATTTTTTGGCGGATGTTCACACATGTATCCTCTTTTACACGATAGAGCTGAGAAGAACTTGAATTTATGGCCGTTTTCTGATTTCCTATAAACACTGTGTTTCTGCAGCAAACGAAAATAATTCGTTCTCTGAAAGAAGTCGTACGAATGAGCTAACATTTATCTCTGCAAACACCTATGAATTATAATATCAGTTTCCACTATAACCTTTCATAACTTAGGCAGTGGACATGGTATATTTACATCAAGGAATTAACTTTAAACCCACCCATGCATTGTTAAATCCTGACTGTTGATTTATAAACCGTAATATGTCAAAACGCATCATACGCATTAAAAGGCAGTGCTTAGACGCTTCATTCTGCAAATATGAATGCTTCAGTTGCCAGTTCTATATATAGGATTCAAACGTCATCTTGTCTGTTCTGTCTTTTGATTAGGCATGAAGTATATCGACTGAAGGTTGCTTGCTAATTCGTATATTATTGAAAAACGTGTCTGTTTTGCTACATTGTCAGGGTTTCTCTTTTTACTTATATGCTTACTTCCCGAAGACTTCTTCAAATTATTTTGGAACTGCCAAAGAATAGAGAATTTGAAACAACCTGGACTATATTTAGACTTACGTAATGACCTGTGCCTCTCGTCGGCAACATTTACACAGCAAGATCTGTTTAAGCACAAGAAATCGGACCAACGTAGTCGAAATCATGCTTTCGTCTAAGCCGACAATACTTTCTGGTTAGAGTTCTTTGCTGCAATATGGGCATACAGAAGGATATTTCGTCGGTACTAATCTTGGAAAACTGGGGTTAAACCCACATTTTATTGCAGTTACGTCTGCATGATAGCTGAAAACAATTTTCAATGGAGGCTGAAAAATCACAGAATGTACATGGTACACAAGCTCGAAAACATTTTTTTGTCGAAGTTTCCCGAATAATTTGATTGATTTCAGTATGGAAAAACGCATTGGGTTCATTCCTTTGGGCTTTTCCTTATCATTTTCAAAGACATCAGGCAAATTTTCGAAGTGTTAACCTAAATTCCTAAAAAAGTTTTCGACTAAAAAATTACTTATGAGGGGTTTTAACGGGAATCATCCCGCTGCACAATATTATGATAATTCAGTTTCTCCAGAATGCCGGCGTCTGAAGGAATTTTTGTAGGTCGTCTACAAAAATCCCACTGTGCACAAATGGCTGCTTAAGTAGCATTAGTTTTCCTCACGGGTTTTTGATGGTCTTATAAATTCAAATATATTTCAAATGAAAATGCTCATGTTTTACTCATTTGGTAGAAAACTACGTCTTCTTCAAATATTATACGTGAAAAAGTAGTATCAGTCGACTTCAAAAAACTTCTTAAATTTCCGGATGATTTTGAACCCGACCTACCGTCACTCTTGCATCCAGGGTTTACAAACTCCAAGCTGTATGTTCTTCATGTACGGAAAGTCATATATTTCAATGAAGAGGAGATCACAGGCGTTCATAAAATTAGCCACTGGTTTGAGCCATATCGTACATTTTACAAGCAACATTGGTAAATGGAGAAACACGATTTTTTGGAGAGAGGCATGTGGTCGTCTTAAAAGATCTTTTAAGTAGAAAGTTTTTGAAACCGAATTATATTGTTCCTTCACATACATCATTTGAGAAAAACGTAATTGTTTATCAAATGTGTAAAAAGATAAGCATTTTCTGCACATGTTATGAGATAAATTTACATTTATAAGAGTGATGTAAATCGATAAGAATGTTCATGCTACTTAAGCGGTCATTTTTGCAGAACGTAGTTTCTTCAGATGGCCGGGAGAAAGTTCGTTCAGACACCGGTATCTTGCATTAAGTGAGTCAGCATGGAAGTATATAGCAGACAGATTATTTTTACAACCTTACTTTAGCAATATTTTTGAGTCGAAAACGCTTTTCAAAATTTCGGCTACCATTTAGTGAGTTAGCAAATCTACTGCAGGTGCACTAAATTTTAGCAAATATGCGGAGGCTGACTTTTATAAGGAACGAACAGTTGCTTTCATTGTATCCACAGCGACTATGAGATTCTCATTTGAGTTTTTTTCATCTGGTTCCATGATCAGAATCCGCTTTTTTCAACTTAAATAATTCACGAACGACGCCCTTTATCAACGGCTTTTTGCATATTAAATGGCGCAAGATAAGCAAACTCACAGAGCTATTTTTATGCTCTGTTCGAGGTTTCAAAAACGGCGTTTGCCTAACCGACCCTGGAATGTTATCTTCAAATCAATTGAAAAAGCACTTTCTCTCCCAAAATAAGTTACATCGACTAACCGGGGAAAAGTAGGGAAGTCCCAATTGTCAGAGCGCTCTAATATCACTTATTCTATGTGTTAATTCTTTGTGGTGTGAGCATAGATATTTAACTTACCTCTCACTAAAGAACACCAATCTTGAAAGGATCTCACACGAAATACATTTCATTGCATGGGTCGGACCGGATAAAATAAGATTATAAGTTACTGTTGAGGATAGTAAAACTCAGCAAGGGCACAAAATCACATTATTATGTAGGTGTTTACTAACTGAAGTTAGTGTCCAGTTTTAACATCCCTTAGAATGTATGAGTACACAAGTTGACCTCAAACCTTTAACCCCAAAACATAATTCGTCAACTTTGAAATACACGTTTTATGAATTCGTGGAAGGTGAACAGTCAAGAATGTGGCAAAATATACAGAAAGGGAGAGAGATATCTTGTGGAGTTTATTTATACGACTATTTCATTGTTAGGAGGCTGCAATTGAGGGGTTTGGCAAATTATTTGGCTGCAATCTAAGTGCCAACAAGTTTCAGAACGTTTCCGAGGAAATACTTTGAGTAAACACAAGTTAATCTGCTCGTCAACATCAGGTTGACGGACATACGAACTACCTAGGCCTAAAAATTCAGCATACGCAAAAAGTCGTATTCAGACAACTGACCAAACTAAAAAATCCTTCAGAATATGCAGTTCAACTTACTTTTGGAGTGTTACGTACCGCGCTTGCCTTACATCAAGGTATTATTTGGTCATCAGTGAATGGCTTATTGCAAGGGAAAGTCCTCGCTAGCATAGGTAATTTATGTCAGTTATTTTAGCTAAAGTAGGCTTAGGCGTTTCGTTGGGCTACTCACCGAAGTGAACCATTTGGACCAAACCTTTTCAAGCATGGCTGAAATCGACGATCTGCGAAGGGAAAACCACGAAAAATTCGCAAACTCCTAATAGACATTCAGTAATATATAAATATTGCGTGACCGGCAACGCACGCTTTGGCAAATTTTGCTACTGCCTGACGCAGCTACGAGAGTTCGGCTCGTCATCAGATCCATTCAGCGTCCCAGATGTGTTTTATGTTACAATAGGTGGGCTAACTCAT